CTTTCTTTAAGTTTGAAAGATTAAAACCATCCTCGTAAGCGTTAATGTCCGAATGTTTCTCTTTCACCTAAGATTTTTGTGTGAATTCTGATAAAACTTAAGTTTTACTTTATCTGAACTGCAGCAGCCAAGCTTTTGTAAGGCTTGAATTTTATTTCTACGTGTAGCATTTGAAGCAGATAAGGCATTAATTTTGCTTGACTGCTGATCGTAAGTGACAAGTGGGGGGAGGGTCAGTTACGCACACAGTCTAATTGAATATAGAGTTTCGTCATTATGGACGGACGGGTCTTAAGAGTAAATGAAGATGCTCACCTTTTCATGTTCGATCTTCTTTAATCCATCATCCCTAGGCTGGAAAGTTCACATAGTTTTTGGATGATGCAGATGTATTCACTCCTTGTGATTTGCAATTTCCAATCCAACTCTATTGGTGCGCGATATCACTATTCTTTTTCGCCAGATCTCTGTTTATTATGTCTCTTCTGAATCTGTCTTTATTCTCTTCTCTTGCTTTGTGTGCTAGAAGGAGGGAGTGCGGCAACTCGTACTACTGTACATCTGTGCAAAATTCTATGTTGAAACCAGCCAGTCATTAGTCGGATAGATACAAATCACACGTTGTCGCATGCATGACCCAGCAATTGGTTAACGCTTGCCCACTCGAGCCTTGTGACTGGATCAATATTTGCCGTATATTTTTGTACTTTTACTTTTCTCTGACTCGTTCTTCGAAACACACGTTTCCTAGACTTTATTAGTTTGGATCAGAGAATAATCGACCAATTAATTATCAACCGTTCATATCTATAAATTAGAATTCGTTCTCACATCCGGCGACATCACAAACACTTCGTCACTCGGTATGAGCTTTAGTAAGACGATAAAGAAGCTGAATTTTGTCTTGTTTCGTTATATCAGATTGTATATACTCAGGAATTTAGAATATTTAGAGTTAACTAGCTATCACAACTCACTGAATCTTATGACCAGATATAAACTCGCCTTCCACACATAACTGAAGCTACATGAAACCCAGAGAAAAAATAACCCTAACACTTCTTGGTTGAAAAGACGTTCACCATCTCGTTTAATCCAGATAGATCTGAATGAGTTCGCTATCTAAAGCGTTTTACAATCCTTAAGCCTTCATCATTATATTCGTTTGGATTTTCGTTATCCAATAATCTCATTTTCAATACTAAGTAATTTATAATTTTCTATGTTCTAATGTAATTTAATCACCGAAATAATAACGTTGGAGATCCATTTTGATTATTCTCAACACCACATATATATTTATATGAGCGGTATTGGGTCGCCAAATACGTTCGTTGCACGTCTCTCGACTTCACTTCTGCTGTTAACTCTGTACCCAGATGTCTCTTGATAAATAAGCTCTCTATGACACAAACTAAGTCCTGGGTCACAAACTGGTTGCATTACTATTTCTCAAACAGAATGCAGTACATTATATACAAAAGTAAATCCTGCTCTGCTGTGCTCATTGAAGCTGGTGTCCCCCAAGGTGCTGTACTCTCCTCACTTCTCTTTTCTCTCTTTCTTTCTTTCTACATGACTTATCATCTTCAAATGACATGAATTTTGTTAAATATGCTGACGAACTGACTGTATATTTGCCTGTCAAATGTCAAAGTGACTGCTCCCATCTAAATGCCTTTTTATCAGAAATCAGCCAGTGGTCCAAGGAAAACGGTCTAACCTTAAACCACTCCAAATGCCAAACATTCAATTTCACCCTTATGCATAAATCTGACCTAAAAAAACTGGTTAGCACTTACGAGGTGTGCAACATAGATGGCACGGAAATAGAGAGATACCAAGTCGGAAATTAAATATCTTAGTGTCATTCTATCCGCTGATCTTTCCTGGTCGTCTCATACCTTGACGATTTCTAAAAAAGTATTCCATATTACCTCTATATGAAGAAGTTAAGACATTCTGGAATAACCCAACCCTTACTCCTACGATTCGTTAACTCTTGCATCCTACCTATTATTCTCTAATGTTCCCCTTACTTTTTCCAGGGCTACTGAGGAACGACTGCATTTTAATACGTAAGGTGTTAAAGGTTGTCAGCAGGGTAACTAGCTTGTTAATATTCTGGTCGACAAGCACTTCTACTCGTGTGAAAAATGGGCTAAATCCATTCTATCTAACTCACATCACCCTCTTCATTCACAACTCTCCCCTTGTATCTCAGCAGGCACGACCAATCAGAACCTATATAGAAAACTATATGCTCGCACTAGCAAGTACAAAAACTCAACCATACCCTACTTAGCTCGTGTTCTGTGCGATAAAGAAAGCATTGGGCGTGATACCTATAACTTACTAAATAGTAGAACAACTGGATCTCGTCTTTCCAAATCATATCATTTATAGGTACAACGTTTTCTTTCTTTCTTTTTCTCTTTTTGTTATTGCTATGTGCTGCTTTGTTTCTCTCTTCCTTACATGCATAACACATGTCCTAACCATCTCAGTCGATGAATATTCACAACCTCGTCGATTGATTTCCCCTCCTCACCTAGCACTCGACCGATGCCTCACCTCAATATTGTTTACCTTATTATACCACTTCACACGAGAGATAGAGCGCAGGCACCTATGATCGAAGACAGCTAATCTTTTCATGTCTTCCACTCTCAATGGCGATGTCTCGCAGCCATAAAGGAGGACGAAGCGAATGGCTGAGCAGTACATACGCCATTTGGTCGAAAGCCAGCTGGATATCACGTCTACCAAGTCGGAGACGGCGTAAACTAGCATATGCGAAACCATCCTTCTGTATCCGTACTGAGATTTCGTCAGCTATCAACCCGCTGGCGTTGACTGATGCAACTTCCTAAATAAGTGAGGCAGTCGCAATGCTCTACCACTTCCCTCCTTATTTCTAATCTAGGAGTCAGTGTAGTCCAGTCGTGTAACATCATCTTGCATTTGACAGCAAGAGCAAATCGCATGCCGAACATTCGTAGATTGCTGCTCCTCAAGGTGTTCAGAAGACTATGCTGGATTTTGTCAGCGTCATAGCTCTGAAATACAACTTAATAAGCTATTCTTTTAGGATTAAGTTTTATCGTCACACGCACACACACACACATGCAAAAAGAAAAACAACCCAAGATTGTAAAAAAAATTCATATTTCACCACTAAATGCTACGGTCGGAAAGGTTACTGACACACCCTAGAGCAATAAGCTTACCTAAATTTATTGTTCAACTCGTGATTATGTTGATACTTAAACCTGTACTGCTCAGTGTTTAACAGTGAAGAAGACTTCATATCAACAAGCCACTTAGGGCTGATTAATGTACACAAAGGTAATTTTCTGTTCAACAATTGGGGGCTTAAATAGCAGTTTAACGCTAATAATGTAAGAGAATTGATGATGATATAAAATATGTGAGCTCGACCTGTAACTGAAAGGCCCCAGGTTTGAACCTCAGGGGTGAACACTGCCCCTATAAGTCTGTCTGTCTGTTTTCGAAATAGAACTTTGCACAAATGTGCGGCACTTCAAGGCGCCACACTCCCTCCATGTAACACACAAAGCAAGAGAAGTAGAAGGAAATACATATTAGAGACAGTAAACAGAGGTGTGAGACAAAGGAATAGTAGTAACGAAGAACAAAACAGTTTCATTGGAAATCATAAGTCACAAGGAGTGGATCCATCTGCACCAGCCATTGAGAACGATTTTGAGGCATATCACCAATTGTTTCCAACCATTGATTTTCACCGTCCCCAGGACCCAAACTAGTCCGGAAGTCTACAGCTTCCTACGTGGCTTAGACTAACTGTTGTAGATTTCATTGACTGGTGGCATGTTTTTGTTTGACCTCCACTAGCTCTTTTCCAGCCTGACCCTATATCAACTAACATCACCCGTCGAGGAAGGTGATGACTAGGCATACGTAACACATGTCCTAACCATGTCAGTCTATGTAACTTCACAACTTCGTAGATTGATTTCCCCTCCTTACCTAGCACTCGATCGATGCCTAACCTCAATATTGCTCACCTTATTATACCATGCCATAAAGGAGGACGGAACGGACACATGAGCAGTACACACGCCGTTTGGTCGATAGCCAGCAAGATATCACGTCTACTAAGCCAGAGACGGCGTAAACTGGCATATGCGAAACTAGCCCTCTGTATCCGTACTGAGATTTCGTCAGAGTTCAACCCGTTGGCACTGGCTGATGGTACTTCCCAAATAAGTGAAGCGGTCAACGTGCTCTACCACTTTACTTCCTATTTCTAATCTAGGAGTCAGTGTAGTCCAGTCGTGTAACATCATCTTGCATTTGGCGGGAGCGAAACAGCTAGTCAGTACTTCCTGCTAATTTTTTCAATATTCCTCTCCAACTAATATATCAATCGATAGTCAAATTTTGAAACGAATCAAATCACTAGAAACTTAATCAATAAAATGAGTAAGTTAGAAAAAATGAGTACTTTCCAAATAGTTCATACTTTTTTTTCACTCAACAACAAAATGTGTTCATCAAAATAATTTATAATTAAATCATAGTCAAGGGGAGAAAAAGAAACATAAACATAATGAAACTACAAATTAAAAAAAACATAAACGATCTCCAAAACCTAAGTAGAAAACAAAATGATGCTGGGTTAGAGGTCGTCTTCCATACTACTTAAAAAACCAATGGCTTCACAGTACAACAACCTATACAACATAATACATAAACCAAAAGTTGAAGTATGGTATCTTTACACTGTCTCAATGAACCACAGTACAGAATACACACATGTATATCACATATATCACATTACAATCTCATGAAAAGAGGCAATTTGCAGTGTAGAGTCCTTACAGACACAATTGATATACACATGATGAAAAGAAAAGAAATGACTTAAAATGCATATATTATGTTAGCGAGTTAAGTGAAACCAACCGGTAACACACACACACACACACACAACAACAACAGCAAAAAATGTACACTCATTTCAGTGACCCACTTACTGAAGAGGGGGAACCCTGCTGATGTTGTTGTTTATGTTGATCAATATTAGATTTTGTAACAGGTGGAAATGGAGGTGGAGGTAGAAATCCTGGAGGGAAAGGTACTGGAGGAAATCCTGGCAACATATGTCCTGGGGGTGGTGGTGGTGGCGGCGGTCTGGCATCTCCCTTCAGACCACCTGGGAATGGCATAATTCCAGGTGGTGGCGGCGGAGGCGGTGGGATGAATGGAAATGGATTGGCTTCAGCTACGGATCGTTGAGAAGACAAACTTGTTAATGATTGTCTTGACAGAGAATTTGTATTCCCAGTGGTATTTTTCATGAAACTAGATGGTAACAAAGGTCTTGGGAATACATTCATGATCTTTTCAAATGATCCCGGTTTTTCTGAGAATCCACGCATTGATGACCGTAGATTACTATTTTCTGATTCAATCAATTTTTGTCGAAGAGTTGAATTCTCCTCACGAAGCTCTTGAACTTGATGATCAGATGCACGAGCTGCTAACCAATTTTCATGACACCGTTTATCCAACTCTGATTTTTGCCGTCTACTTGTGCGTTCAGTTTCAGCTAGTTCACGGCGTAAAGCTGATATCTGTTCTCGAAGGACTCTGCCTTCGGCTTCAAGCTCTTGATTACGCTTTCGACTATTGACAAGAGCTTCTGATGACTCAGAACCGACTACAACATGTTTCCCCAAATCTCTTTGCAATTCAAGTTCACGTTCTTTAAAGTACTCTGATAAAATATCCAGCTTAGTTTGAAGTGCATTTTTCTCTTGTTCAAGTTGAGTTTGATTAGTTCTTAAGATGGAGTTTTCTTTTTCTATTTCTTCCAGTTTCGACTCAACTTCAATTCTTAGGTCATGTTCATTTTTCGCTTTAAATTCTTCACTTTTTATCTGTTCATCTTTAAGTCGGATTTGGGCATGCAATCGACCGATATCCAAAAGAAATGATAAGTGTTCATGTAGTTTCGACTTTTCTGTTCGACGATGATGACTGTCAACTTCATCATTTAAGCTAGATATATCACTTTGAGAAACAGTACGCGATTTGTCTAGATCAACTACTACATCTTCTGATATACCACTTGTATGAGATAGATTATCCGTTATGCTGATTTCATTTTCTTCAGTTGAATCTGTTTCATGTTTTAAAGAAGAAGTTTCTTGTTCAAATATTACTTCAAGACTTTTCAGTGTATTGAAGGTGGTGAGTAGACTTTGAAATTCTGCTTCTTTAGCAATCAACTTTTCTTCAGTCAACTTACGTGACTCGATAATTTTATCTACCTCTGATTGCATTGTCTTCATTCTATTATAATATATGTTAGCTTGTGAATACAGTTTCTCTTGTTCATCTTTTAACTCCTCTATAGACTTATGATTATTTTCTTCAATTTTTGATAGCTTCATTTTCCAGCTTTCTTCATTCTCAGCATTTAACTGTTTTAAATGATCAATTTCTGTGTGTAGCTCACGAATCGCTTCTTCTTTATCTTGTAATTTTGAACGGGAATTTCTTTCTAGTAGACTATGCGCATCTTTCAGACGATTCAACTCGGATTGGACACGTATAAACGACTCGTGTGAATCATCAACTGATAGTGTAATCGCTGACAATTTCGATGTGTACTCTTCTTGAAGACTTTGTAGTTTACGTTGTAGGGAGTTAGCCCATTTTGATAAGTGTGCATTCGATTCTTCCATATCTGACAGTTGACTTGCCAATTGAATACTATACTCTTCAAGTCTTATATAATCACTCGAGGATGTAGATGGATATTTTTGTGGGGAAATATATCTGTAAAACAAGTAGTTTATGCCTTTGCCTAAATTCCAAGCAAATATTAAATGAATTGCAAATAGCATCCATGCAATGACAAAATGTAATGATATAGAACATGTTGTTAAAAGCAGATGATTTATACTTGTGACTATATTTTCAGGGAAGTATTGAAGTGATAAATTGGCAGTTCTAAAAAAATAGACAATTCCATTAATTAGTAAACGTGATAAAGGTGATTTATACGATGCCTTATGCGCTTCAAGAAAACTAGCGTTCGCCGCGAAGTATAAACATTGTACTAATCCTATGTGTACTGGAAAATCGCAGGATTCATATAATTCTTGACATATTGCTGGACAGTTGAATTTGCTTAAATCGACAGTCTGACGTTGTGATTTCGCACCTTCAAGATTTAGTTCATGTGAGACGATTGTGTCATTATTATGCTGTAAGAGATTACTTTCTGATGGAGATTCACTATCTGACAAGGAACTATGATCAGGTAAGGTGATATTCTCATGATGAAATGAAGAAATACTTATTGTTGGATCTAAGATAACATTATCCATAGATACATTTGATGATACGACATCATTACCAGTCTGATCAATTATCTCTTTAACGGTTTCACTTGAAGGAATAGATGGTGATGCCTCATGTTTAACAGCATCAACTGGAGATGGCTTTGCTGATGCAACATCAATATCAGTCTGATCAACGCCTTTATCAACTACATTCAAAGGCATGGATGGTATCGACTGTTCTTTAATAACACCAGTTGGAGACGGCTTTCCTGGAGTATCATTATCCATTGGATCAGATGCCAGTGGTGTATGACTGGTAGTCCGATCAAATTCTTCATTAACTACAACACCTGGAGGGATGGACAGTGACGGCTCTTCCTCAACAGCATTTGCAGTCGGCTTCCTTGATACATCATTATCACTTGGAACAGGTGCAGGTGGTCCATAACCGACAGTCTCATCAACTCCTTTATCAACTGTATTTGAAGGGATGGACGGTGACGGATCTTCCTTAATAACATCAGCAGTCGGCTTTCTTGATACATCACTATCACTTGGAAGAGGTGCAGGTGGTGCATGACCGACAGTTTCATCAACCCCTTTATCAACTATGTTTGAAGGGATGGATGGTAGCGGCTCCTGTTTACCAACATCAACTGGAGATGGCTTTCCTGGTGTGCTACTATCACTTGAAACAGGTGCAGGTGGTGCGTGACCAACAGTTTCATCAACTCCTTTTTCAACTACACTCGGAGCTGTAGGTGGTGGAGGCTCCTGTCTAGCGACATCAACTGGAGATGGCTTTTCTGATGCAACATCAATACCAATCGGAACAGAGGTAGGCAATGGATGACTACCAGTTTCATCAATGCCTTTATTAACTGCACTCGGTGTGGTAGGTGTGGGCGCTTCCTGTTTAAAAACTTTAACCGGAGATGGCTTTCCTGGTGTGCTACTATCACTTGAAACAGGTGCAGGTGGTGCGTGACCAACAGTTTCATCAACTCCTTTTCAACTACACTCGGAGCTGTAGGTGGTGGAGGCTCCTGTCTAGCGACATCAACTGGAGATGGCTTTTCTGATGCAACATCAATACCAGTCGGAACAGAGGTAGGCAATGGATGACTACCAGTTTCATCAATGCCTTTATTAACTGCACTCGGAGTGGTAGGTGTGGGCGCTTCCTGTTTAAAAACTTTAACCGGAGATGGCTTTCCTGGTGTGCTACTATCACTTGAAACAGGTGCAGGTGGTGCGTGACCAACAGTTTCATCAACTCCTTTTTCAACTACACTCGGAGCTGTAGGTGGTGGAGGCTCCTGTCTAGCGACATCAACTGGAGATGGCTTTTCTGATGCAACATCAATACCAGTCGGAACAGAGGTAGGCAATGGATGACTACCAGTTTCATCAATGCCTTTATTAACTGCACTCGGAGTGGTAGGTGTGGGCGCTTCCTGTTTAAAAACTTTAACTGGAGATGGCTTTCCTGGTGTGCTACTATCACTTGAAACAGGTTCAGGTGGTGCGTGACCAACAGTTTCATCAACTCCTTTTTCAACTACACTCGGAGCTGTAGGTGGTGGAGGCTCCTGTCTAGCAACATCAACTGGAGATGGCTTTTCTGATGCAACATCAATACCAGTCGGAACAGAGGTAGGCAATGGATGACTACCAGTTTCATCAATGCCTTTATTAACTGCACTCGGAGTGGTAGGTGTGGGCGCTTCCTGTTTAAAAACTTTAACTGGAGATGGCTTTCCTGGTGTGCTACTATCACTTGAAACAGGTGCAGGTGGTGCATGAACAACAGTCTCATGAACTCCTTTTTTGGCTACACTTGGAGGGGTAGATGGTGACAGTTCCTTTCTATCGACATTAACTGGAGTTGGCTTACCTGGAGTACTATTATCACTTGGAACAGGTGCAGTGGTGCATGGACAACAGTTTCATCAACTCCTTTTCTATTTACACTTGGAGGGGTAGATGGTGGCGCCTCCTGTCTGGAGACATCAACTGGAGATGGCTTTCCTGATGCAACATGAATACCAGTCGGAAGAGAGGTACGTGACGGATGACTAGCAGTCTGTTCACTTCCTTTATTAACTACATTTGAGAGGATGGGCGATGGCGCCTCCTGTTTAACAACATCAGCTGGAGATGGCTTTCCTGGAGTACCACTATCCGTTGGATCAGATGCTTGTGGTGCATGAACAACAGTCTCATCAACTCTCTTTTCAACTACACTTGGAGGGGTAGATGGTGGCGCTTTATTAACTGCACTCGAAGCAGTAGGTGGTGATGACACCTGTTTAACAGCATCAACTGAAGATGACTTTTCTGATGCAACATCAATACCAGTCGGAGCAGAGGTAGGCGATGGATGAATACTAGTTTGGTCAACTTGTCTATTTACTTCACTTGATTTTTGTTGTTCCTTATCCCGATGGGCTTGACTTCTCTCAACTCTTTGGTTTGTTTGCCTATTGTTCACTGGAATTTGATCACTTTTCATTTCTCTATGCTCATTAGCAGCATATACCTGCCCCGGTAGGTCTGTGTATTCTGAATTCGCCGGATAGGAGTCCCAGTCTTCAGGGTAATCCTCTGAAAATCTGCGATTTTCAAGTGCTAATTCACTGTCAGACATAAAGCGAGGAGAACGCTTTTTCTTGTCGATATAAACTAAATTATCATTGTCGTCATAGAATGTGTTAACTTCGGCATTACCATTTCCCGATTCAATATCCTGGTCAGCTTCTTCAAAATGAGATTCTTCCAGGACTTTTTCACGGCTATTAGACTTTTGTGCGCCATCTTTATTTTTTGTAGTCTCTGTTTTTTTCAAATTTGTTTTAATTGCATTTTTTGAATCTTTGACATTATTATTATTGTGGTGATCAGTTGAAAGCGCAGGAGGAGTTGAAACTTCTCGGTTATTGTCTCCATTCACAATTTTTAATAAATTCCGTGAACTCAATGGTGATTGCTTTTCATGAACAAAACTTGAATCAATATAGAAGTAATCATTGCCCACTTTAACTTTAATCACTGAATTATCATTATCAGCACTTTTTGCTATAATATCTACAAGTGTATTTTTGGTAAATACTTTTCTATCCCCAAGACTAACATCTTGAATCAGTGTACCAGTAGATATACTGTTGATACAATTTTCATCAGAACATAATAAAAATGTTGGTAGATTTTTTCTATTCACTGTTTGAGCATGACAAAGCAAAACGGATAGGCCAATAAGCGATGTAATGAAATAGATTTTCATCCTAAAAGTCGGAAACTAACTGATTATATCTGTGTTTTTTATATGAGGAGAGATTAACAGAAAAATTTATGTTTAGAAAAAAAAGGCGTGTATCACTGTCCATGTGTGTCGGTGGCATAGCGGTTAGGACGCTCGCCGACCATGCACATGGTCCGGGGTTCGATTCCCGGCCACAGACGCACTCCTTTACCTCGCTAAGCCAGAAGTAATGCTCGTAAAGAGGAAAGGTTGCGCATGAGGCTAGCAACCTCATCCTTTAAAAAATAAACACTGCTACAGAAACTTCGAGCCACTAGCTTGAAGCTCTATGTTCCACTGGGAAAGTGAAGGAAAAAAATTCCTGTCCATATATAGTAAAGTGCACACAATATTAGACCACTGTAGTGATAATAATAATAATAACAGCCAGAGCCTATCCTTCAGCTAAATTGGTTCCCGTCCATCAAGCAACATGCTATTTGGTGCAATCAAGAGTCAACAGATACCCTTTCATGTTAACTTCAATTGTGTGTACAAATTTACGTGTATCTGCGCTAGCGGTTACATTGGGAGAACAGAAAGAAGGGCACACGTCCGATTTTCTGAACATGTGCCGAAAAGCCTACGTCTCACGGGAACAAACTCTTCACATAGCGCTATTACCAGACATCTATCTCCTTGATACGGGTCATGCGGTGGAAATCACGAAATCCTTTAAAATTATCAGTAGACAAAGAAGCTCGATTCTCCTCAAGTTTGCAAGAAGCAACATCTATTAAACGCTTGAAACCAGAGTTATGTGTTCAGAAAGAAGCAGTTATTAGACTTTCCTTGCCCCCACCCTGGTAACTGGATGTCTTTATTCTTTCTTTCATTTGGCTACGTAATCTTCAGCTTTAATCTCCATCCCCTTTGATATAGTGTAATTTTGCTTGTCTCTTGTTTCTATGATTTGAGTTGAACTCAGTACATTGTTACCTAATTTATTGGTCACTCAGCATCTTACGCATCTCTCGTCTTTATTGCGACAAAAAAGAAGTATCTTTCAATCTTTTCAAATAAGATGAGAGGATTTAGTCATGTTACACTAATAATAACTGGAAATAGGTGCAATTGACGTATAGTCACACCCATTATATGAGGAAGAATGATACTACCTTGCCACCAAAACGCTGGTAGCTGAAGAGTAGCTTAATCGAGTGCCCAAGTATTTGGTAGGAGTGGGTGTGAGGATAAACCAATAGGTCATAGATTTACCGATGACCGACTGGATCTGTAGAAAACGCATCACACTCGTTAATACATCTGTAGAACTTGGGCACTGCGGTAGTAAGGAATTCCATATTAGTTTGTTTATTAGATATATCACACAGCAAGTGAGACAGCATTATTTACTGGATGACGATGTTTCGAACAAAATTTATCATCGTTCATAATCATATCAATTATAATCACACGACTTCGAAACTTGAGTTTTATAATATTCTTTGTCCTCTCCTATCTGTCATCGTTGGGGGAGTAGAATTTTCCAGATATCTGGGTGAACAGGTGTTTAATCATTCCTATTACATGTATTTGCAGTTGATTCGACAAACAAAGCATCCGTTGTTATCAACCTCTCCCTCCACCCAGCTGTGACATTAGATTTTAAAACTGTCATCTTATCCCATCCTATTGTATGATTATGTGTAATTCCATGTGACGTAGTGCTATAGCTGAAAAATTCTCTAGATTTCTTATCTTATTCGGGTCGACCAATCTACATTTTTCTAGGTTTTTACGCTCTCCTAGTCTGGATGACTGCCCCTGTTCTACTATTGTGACCTATGTATTTTACCTGACAATCATTAAAGAGAAAATGGTCAGTTTTGACATTTTCAGTTTATATACACGTATAACAATAAATATGGCTATAGAGGCAGTCAGAAACTTACTCATTTCTGACCAAGAACTCGAACTTAAGACGAAAGTGCCATTTGAGGATATAGTGCTGGGGTTTCAGCTGTTCCTGACTTCCACAGCATTTAAATTCCAAGGGAAAATATACAAACAAACTGAGGGAGTTGCCATGGAGTCACCAATATCCCCGTTTGTAGCAGATATATTCATGGATAAGTGAGAAAAAACATAGCGATTGAAACGTTCACTCCCACCCGAAAAGTATGGTGAAGGTATGTAGATGACACATTCACTGTACTTAGAACACAGAATATAGGATAGATTTTTCGAACACATCAACTCGAAGGTAGAGGCAATTCAATTCACTTATCATTGAAAAGTCAGGAAGAGGAGATTCCAATGTTAGATTGTAGCGTAAAAAGGAAAGAAGATGGGAAGTTAAACACTAGTGTTTTTAGGAAAGCCACACATTCAAACAGATATTTGGACTTCCGATCACCCAATCGTATGTCAATAAAAATAGGATTGGTGAAATGTTTAAGTGACAGAGCACAAAAACTAAGTAGTACCAAATAAAATCTAAGTCAGGAAGTGAGGCATATAAGAAAAGCTTTGAAAGTTAATAATTACCCTGAAAAACTAGTCAGGAAATATGTAGAGAAATGTAAAAATAAAGTAAATAATGTTAGTAGTGATAATAATATTAATATTGACGACATGTGTGTCAAGTACACTCAAGATAACACCAACAATACGGAATCTAAATCATCAATAGTAATTCCAAACAAGCACGGAACCTTGGAAACCTTACGCAGAATTCTTAACAAGGCAGGAATAAAAGTGACTGGCATTCAAACCACCCACAAACTCAATTAGAAACAAGCTTTGTCGGTTAAAGGATCCTGTGGAACAGCCAATTAAACAAAACAATTTAGTTTATCTAATACCCTGTCTGCATTGATTGTAAGGTCAAATACATTGGTGAAACTAGTAGAACAGGGGCAGTCATCCAGACTAGGAGAGCGTAAAAACCTAGAAAAATGTAGATTGGTCGACCCGAATAAGATAAGAAATCTAGAGAATTTTTCAGCTATAGCACTACGTCACATGGAATTACACATAATCATACAATAGGATGGGATAAGATGACAGTTTTAAAATCTAATGTCACAGCTGGGTGGAGGGAGAGGTTGATAACAACGGATGCTTTGTTTGTCGAATCAACTGCAAATACATGTAATAGGAATGATTAAACACCTGTTCACCCAGATATCTGGAAAATTCTACTCCCCCAACGATGACAGATAGGAGAGGACAAAGAATATTATAAAACTCAAGTTTCGAAGTCGTGTGATTATAATTGATATGATTATGAACAATAATAAATTTTGTTCGAAACATCATCCAGTAAATAATACTGTTTCACTCATTGTGTGATACATCTAATACATCTGATATGGAAGTACATCACCCTCGTGTTTAGCTTTCTACTAAATAGTAATAACTAGGACACTATTACAGGAGAGTGCAGAAGAATAAAATAAATAGATTGTTTTGAAGTTTTGGAAGTGGTTTCCACATAATTATGATTTTTGTTTTTTTTTCACATAATAATCCTACTGAAAAGCCATACTTCAGGCAGCAATGTGTCACTCAGACCCTGTTTCCCAAATAGCTTCCCACATTTTAGAAATCACAGACGCTTAGGATTTTGAAATAATAGACATGTGTAGCTCAAGAGTATGGAAAAACAAATGGTAAAACCTACGGTCACTGACGCACATTACCACACATTGAAGAAATACCAACATGTCACTGGAATACAGCAAGGTAGAAAGAACTCAACACAGAACACCTATCGACGTTGAACACTGTCATGTGAATATGAAGAGAGAACGAGCTAACTTTAAAGAAAGGTCGCCTTAGATTTTATAAACAACTATCTGAGGGTTTACTGAATGATTGACTGGGTGGTAAATCGATCAAAACAACCACTATTATAAAAATAGGAAAACTTCATAAAGGACTGAACTACAATACTGGTATCGTTTTGAAGACAAGATTTCTTTGCTTTCTTAGAACCACCTCTCAAATTATCAAAATTAAACGAAAAGAAATGCCTTAATGACCAAACAGAAAAAGCGCAGTACCAAAATGAAAAGCAAAACGTACTAAATAAACTTAAGAAGAGAAAGGATATAGTTATACTGCTACCTGATAAAAGAGCAGTAATCATGAGCACAGAAGGCTACATGGAGAAAGCAGACCATTTCTTAGAGATAGTAATGTGTATCTACGGTAGAAGAAAAATCAAAACAGCGTTAAATAAACTACCGAAATCAGGACAAATTACAAAATAAGATTAATGGTAAATGACCTCTAGCGAATCTGTTCTATCTCGGTTTTCGATAAACCAGAACTACACAAACCAAACATGCCTTTGAGAATCGTCGTATCATTCATTACCAGGGACACTAACACATCTGTGCAAAGGACTTTCTGAAGAAAAATCCGAAATATCTAACAGAATCATAAACCATTCTATCTATTCGCCAACCCTGTTTTCTGAGGAAATCAAAAACCTTTCAGATAGGTGACAACGAAATCATCGTGTCCTTTGGTGTCACACTCTAACTGGACAAAATCTAGAAAGAAAACTACGTGAGAACTATCCTATAGTGATGAACACACAAAAACAAGATACTCAAGCTGAATCGAGCTCATAGAGTTATGTCTTATAACATTTTCAATTCAATGACCTATCATACGAACAGATAAAAGGAATACTGATAGGATCGTCAGTATCAAGACTGACTGCTGGGGTCGTTACGCGGAGACTGGAAACGATGGCTCTACCAATAATTAAACCAAAAATCCAGACACACTATATTGATGACACTTTCGTCGTAGTTAAAAGAAATGGTTTAAAATACAAATTAATCATGTTTGAAGACATCAAATTCATATAAGAAGAAGAAGAATTAGACAACAAAACCCCTTTCCCAGATTCCTTAGTCAAGAGAACAAACACAGGAAATCTAGAAACACAGGTAAACTAGAAATCGACCCACACAGACCAAATACTCAACTACAGCAGCAACATCCCAACAACACACAAAAGA